ATTGTGATTCATAAAAATGACGGCAGGCAAAATACAAGCCCAAAGTACCAGCAGCGAATCCAGTCAAGCCAAGAACGTAACTCTGTACTTGGGGCATTAGTGTACCTACATCAAAATTATGACTTCTTGCTATAGATACGTGCATGCCGACTTTTTGATGGCTGATTAATTGAATACAGATATTGTGTTTTAGAGATTACTGGTTTAAATCGTAAATGTCGGTCATTTATTTTGTTCGTAACTGAAATCATGGTGTGCGTTTTAGCATGAAAGTTTTTGTGCTTATAAAATCTATTTTTTTACGCATCCTTATTTATTTGGTAACATTAATTAGGACTTTTGTTGTTTACTTTCCTTTTATCGGATTTCAAATATCTGGGCTTTGTTCTTCCTAACAGTTTTTTATACCGCTAGATTTGCCTTGATTGTCCGCTCTTTTTTACATTAATGTCGGAAACAGGTAAGTTGGAATTCAATCCTGATCAGAAGCTGTTTTGAAGACTTGAATGCATTGCCAGAAACACAGTCATCTGTGTTTTCCGTTGGAGATGCGGTTTTTGTTGGCAATCATACAGACCGTGTTGGCACAATTGCATATATTGGGAATACGGAATTCGCCCCGGGAGAATGGATCGGTAAATAAGTAGCTCACTTTCTACTCTATGCTGTTGGATTGGTAATGCGTTTTACAATGTAACTGCGTTTTTTGGTATTTCCTCTAATATCACCGTTTGTATTTAAAGTTATTCTTTTTTTCGTGTTTTTACATTTTTACCGTTGACTCTTTACCCTTCTCATTAAATGATGACGACATATATATTTGTTGTATCCTTTTTAGATGATCTTAAAGACTCAGTGTTGAGAATTTTTGTCATTGGTCTTGCATCAAACCTTTTTTTAAATACCACTTTTGTATCCAGTTTAATGTAGCTCTGATCCTTATAGCCAAATGACTAGGAACCGAAGCTATTAATAATACACTGAGCGGATTGTCGTGGGCAAGAATGTTGTCCATTTTTAATGCTGATGTGTCTGTACGTTTGTATTAAATTTGTCTTGAAACTGAAAATGTTTTGTAACAATAATAGATGTAGGAGCTAATAATTGTTGTAATTTATTTGTGCAGTTTATTGTAAAGGAAAAAAGCCTTCCTCAGAAGAACCTGGTGGCGAGCTCATTTAATTAAGATTCATATTTAGTTATTGTGAAGGGTTCTACGTTGTGATGAATTAGTCACTTTTCTAGATCGGCCTTGCACTCTTGATTGAATGACTGTAGCTGAAATAGATTTGCGGTCATTCAGCATCTCAATTAAATGTCTGGTATTTGTCAATACTTTTCTTAATCGTGCTGCACTTATCACTGTATTAGTACTTCTTTAGGCAGTTATTTCTGTTTTTATCTTTTACACTTAAATTAATTAAACTTATTGTGTATTTGGCTCAGAATTATTTATTCATCATGTGGCTCGCTCCTTGTAAATGTAATCGTTTGCCTAGAGAAACACTAGTGGACGATCAGAGCCCTGCAACCCAGATAGCTTGTGGTTTTCTGGAAAGGTGTCGATTTCCTGATAGCAATTAGGCGAAGGTTACTGAGGTTGGTTAAATCAGTAGAATTTGCTATCATTGTGCGATTTTGGCGCCTTGCATTTTCCATTGGTAAAAGAAGACTCTTCAGTAAAGTGGCGGAGCCCAGAAGCGCTGCCAGTTTGGCCACTCGCAAAACCGATGAGCGTTATTAAATGTAGGTACTTTCCCACCTTACGTTTAGCTTGTTCATTACACCTTTAGATAAAGAAGAGCAGGCTTACATAATAACAGATTTTCTTTTATTTGGGGAAATACGGCTTTTCAACGCTAATTTTTTTCGGACTCTTATGTTGGCTTTTAAGATTCGAAATAACCGGCACATCTTATTGTCATTGGCGGATCAGAAGTACCACAAAACATGCTTATGGTGCAGGTTTTTAGGAGCCCTCTGCGTGTAAATCCTGTTGTAGGCTGATGCGGGAGCTACTGAGGCTACACAGCGTGGAGATTAGATTTGAAGTATCATATTGGGTCGATGGGATTTAACTACCTGTTCTGGCATTATGTTAGCTAAAATTTACGTAATGTGGGTTAAGCAACCCTTATAACCTAAGAAATAGTACTAGGGACAACCTTATGTGGGGCTATAGAAACGTAAAAGACAAAACAGGGAGGCCATGATTTCTGAGTCTAATGGGACTATTCCGATTCATTGTAATTTTAGTGTTATCATTTATCTTAAAACACGAATCATATTTCGAGCTACATGTTCCAACTCTTCCCTATTTTCCACTTTCCTTACAGGAATCAAGCTAAGTGCCCCCAATGGGAAAAATGACGGCAGCGTCAATAACGTTAGGTACTTTGAATGCGAACCCCGTTATGGCCTATTCACCCGCCGTGAATTTCTCAGGCCGGTCACAGAGTCTGCCGAGTCCACTCCGAAAAAAGTTGCAGTACGTTTTTTGCTTATTTAAATAGCGTTCTTTTTGACGTGCGTCATATTCAATTTCTACATTGCCGCTTGTCTAAGTTACCATATGCGCCACCTTACCAAATACTACGAACGCTCGTATAAATGTGTCGTTTATAGACGCTGCACCTTTCCAGAGGCATTAACTACAGAAATGCGCAATTCTTTTGAATGTTGTTCCAAATTCGTCATGTTTATCTCTGCTTCCGGCTTCCCTTTGTAGCCAAATGTGTTGCGATCTTTATTTTTTGTATCCGCTTTATTAGTTGGGCTCGTCCATATTACAGCACTAACCTTGCCTTCTGAATGAACTGCTTCCCCATGAAAGTTTGCTATTATTATTTAGAATTTATTGTTATTATTATTATCACAGGCAATATTTGAGGTTTAAATATGCCAACAGTGTGTTTTCTACGTGTCCGATGTGCACATTTTCCACATACACACAACCTCCTAATTATTCGCTTCAATCACTGCTTTCCTGATTCTTCCTTTCTCCGTGTAAAAGAGTGCACTTGTTTGGGTGCACCAGTCTCGAAGCCAGCTCACCGCTCCACGTACAAATGATGCCTAGTTTATTTTTCTTCTTGGACGTTCGATTGTTGGGTACGCGTCAGTGGTTTAGCCGGATACTTTGATTTTTGCCATAATTTCAGTCGATTGCGTATGTTAAAAAACAACGCCACTATGCATACCATAGCGAGTTGCAAAAATAAGCCCATGAATTGGACATTTAGGTGGTTTTTTAATAGAATGCACAGGCATCGTCGGGCATTCCAGGCACCCCCGCAACCAATCCCTCGTCGGGAGTCCAGCGAGTCGGTGGGGTCTCCTCCGCGGAGACCCCGCTGACCAGGCCAGGGGGCGGCGGCGGCGGTCTGCAGGTGGGCGACCGCGTGCAGGTGTCGGGCAGCCGCGTCGGCACAGTCCGTTTCATCGGTCCGACCGACTTCGCTGCCGGCGACTGGGTCGGCATCGAGCTGGACGACCCGCTTGGCAAAAACGATGGCTCCGTCATGGGCCGAAGGTAGTTCAGGCCCTTCTGTCTCTATTTTGCTTTTTATTCATTTCGTGGCTTCAACCATCAAGTTCCCGTAAGTTACTTAATCTTCTGCAGTGCTCTGAAGGGGTATCTGAGATTGGAAAAAGTTAATAAGTAAGCTGCTCACATAGTTTCGTTTTAAGTTCGAGTGTTTATCGGTAGGTTATGTATAATGTGTGTTAACGGGCTCACAAGCCAGATAAATTCACTGAAAGAAATGCTCAACCCTCTTACTGTAAACAATCTATGTGGTCCTTTCTTACTTGCTAATTGCTAGAAGGCAAAACGGATGTCAGTCTTCTCATAGTCGCTTAAAAACACAAGAAAGTGCTCAAATTAAAGGTTTAAATTCGACATTCTGCTGGCATTGCCACTCTTTCCTCACCAGGTACTTTACCTGCAAGCCCAATCACGGACTCTTCTCAGCACCATCCAAGATTACACCCTTCTCTGGCAAAACCCCTACCCGCCCCCTGAGACGAACGTGAGTTGCCTCTGGCCGGTGCAGCTTAACTGTTCCCCTGCAATTGCCCTCCACTACAAGTGCTTTTTAGGCCAAAATGAATTGTTTCGACCTCAACGTCGATTCATAATATTAATAGATTCCAAATTTCATGAGACCACTAATCAAAATATTGCCTTAAGAACTAACAAAATAATGCGACATAAAAAAACGAAGGAGTATAAATTGACCACATCATGGTTGCTAAATAATTCCTACTCACAATACCTGAAGAAATATTTTGCAATGCAGACGATGGTGTTTCTAAATTATGCTTGGTAATTTGAAAACCTGTTGTGTCAGTTGCATATGCTACATTTGGTGTACTGCCGTCCAACGTCGGATTGCGAATACTTGTTGGCGCAGGGTTGTCCAAGGTGCCTAGACATAATGTTTAGTTTGTACCGCAAGCAATGTGTGAGTGAAGCCATTAAAACTCGAAATGAATGATAATCTGGGGACATGATGGCTGTGCAACAACTGTCAATTGAGCCCAATTGGGAGGATTTTTTGAGTTGATGGAGCACAGCATTGCGGAGCACAAACCGGTCATCCTCCTATTGAGTGCCTTCTCCCGCGATGCTCCAAGCACGCTTTCCAGGTGGATGGCATTTGCACTTGTTCATGTTGGCTCAGCCTCCTTTTACCACGAGTGTATGCACTAAATGTGCAGTTCCAAGTTAATGTTTCATGTCAAGTGGTGAGTTGTTTGTGCATTTGTGTAACAAACCACAAGAACGTGGTCGGTAAATTTTCAGATTTCTAAATAATCACAATCAACGGTGCACACTACTCTAACTGCCCCACAATCATCAGTCTTGTTGCTTCCTAGTTTTTTTGCAGTAGACGTAATTTGACTAGAAATTAAAGGTCTGAACTTAAAATTAAAACAATGGAGCGATGTTGGCTTTAGAATCCATGATTTGCCAGCATTTGATGAAGCGGTAGGTTTTTAACTTTAATGCGTCCAGCGGCATGCAATTCTCGCGTACCGCGCTGCACTTGCCCAACTCTCGCATGTTTTAATGCGGCGTCTTGAGCATCTCATTGCTAACCTTGATTTTGCAGAAACCATAATTAAAGTAAATAGGGTTTTATCGACACTACGGTGCACAAGATGTGCTCTGGCAATACGGTCTTCGTCTAATCCTTTTGGCATCGCAGTACGTGGAAAATTTAATTGGTTCTCGAATTTCCTCTAAGGCAAAGTCTGGTTTGGTTCTCAGTTTAGTGTTTTAAAATTGCTGTGTGCACACTTTACAACTCATTAAGGTGTCTCTGTGTAAGTCTTAAATTTATTCATGTTTTCTAATTGAGATCTCACCTGTACAATACCAAAAATGCTCTTCTGTCCACGCTAATCACTGCTACTTTTATTTTTAAGCATTACACATTTTGAAAAAAAGTCAGCACTGAGGGGTGTTTTTTTTCGTTGAATGGAGTCCAGCGCGTTGTTTTGTATCGAAGCCAAAAGTGCCACAGCACGTCATGCTTTTTTATGCGCTAAATTTGCGTGCCCCTTTGCTTCTTGCAGGCCTCCCGTGGCCGTTGCATGTTGCTTTTGGTGATGCCTAAAAATGCGCTTATTTTCGCCTTTTAGAGGAAGCCGTGAGTCGCTGCTGTCACTGGGCTCGAACTTCAGCTCCGTTTCTCGACAAAGACCCAAACAAGGCGCTCAGGTGACGAATTCATGCTTGTTCATAAAGCGGCGGTGGTGCGAAATCGGGAGTTGCCTGTTTCTTTTTTGAGCATTCAATCCACGGCCACTGGTGACTCATTTTAGTGAAGAGCGTTTAAAACCCATTAATTTGTGAAAATAATTCCTTTAAGGTTCGACACTATTCAACTCTCGTGTCAGGTGCCAATTTATGCCACTTTCAAATGCCACGTGTAGTTCTGACGCAGAACGTGAGACCTAAATTCTTTGTACTGTCAATTCGTTTCGCCAGCAATCGACTCCACTGCTGAAGAAGTGGTTTAGAATCGATTCCTTTGGCATTGGATCCAAAGCTGTGTAAGTAGCCTTGGTAATTGGTCCAAATTCGTCCGTAGTGAAATCGATAACACTTCCTATTTCCTTACACCGTGGCACTGTCGAAATTTAATCATATGTCGACCAATTGTTGGCACCACCGATTCTAAACTGTTGGGGCTTCACAATGGTCTTCCTCGGTGTGTGTATTCGTAATGCGGGGCTTCGGTTGTGTGCGTGGTTAGGCGAGCGAAACGGGGCGTCCTCGCTGCATGTGATGACGCCGAAAGCAAAGCGTTAGCAACTTCAAAACAGCTAGTGCAGGTACGCATGGCCGTTCTTGTGGTTGCTAGGTGAATCTACACCAAATGGCCAGTTCCCATTCAACCATCAATCCTCAATACACCCTGTCAATTTTTTTGACTTATTGTGGTCCCCATTTAGTTTTGGCGTTGTTACGACGTTTCAGCAAGTTTTCCCTGTTGGTAAATGATGCTTCCTTCTGGTTTTTCACTCCTTTTGCAACGACAATCTCCACTTACTGCCAAATTCCGGGCTCCGCCATTTGCTGAAAGCGTTAGGGCTTCCGCGGTGCAGATTCATCGAATTGGGTATTTGTGAAACAGTTCGCTATCGTTACAAATTCACTTTGTTTTGATATTCACGACTAGTTCCGGGTTCGATGTTGCCACTTGCTCAGTTGTGGGCCTTCATTTTCAAACGGACTTACATTTCTATCCTCTTTTTCAGCACCCATTGTATACCCAATAAGCCCATTTTCAAGAGAACGTGATGTTAGACATTTTTCTTACCATTGCTTGAATTATTTTAGCCACGTCGGACTCCCATTCAAGGTTCCTTCAGCGGCCCTAGCGTGCACGCCTTAGAGGTACGATAGATTGCATTGCACTCAGCCTGTTTCCAACTTGCTCGCTATATCCACTGCTAGTCTCCCCCTTGTCTACTTCATTCCAATGTTTTCGAAATCTTCGACTTCATACAGGGCTTTTGTTCTTCTCCTAGAGCGTTGTTAAAGAAAAGGAGGCGCACATCGAACAGTTACTGCAGGAATTTGAAATGGAACGCAATGAATTGGCTAAAGTCACTGCTGAAAGGGAAATGGTAAATTATTGCTACTTGCACGTTATAAGTACACTATTTAACGAATGTATGCTGTGTGGCTTTCAGTCCTGCTAAGCGGTAAAATGCAGCATGTCGCGATTAGAACTTGTCACATAGGGTTAGCTAGGAATCTTACATTAGGTTCATTTAATTTCACCAACCATGAGAAGTCATCGTCATGGTAGTAGAGCCTTTACAGTGCAATTATTTCTGCCTGTGTTAGCCAGTAAATAGCAAAATTGGATCTGTTTAAAATGGCAGGATACCTGCACCTGGGCTCAAGCACTTTAATCTCGCTACTATTGTTTAAACTTCGTCTAGTAAAATGTGGTGTCTATATGATTCTTACGCCCTTGAAATGATTTCCGCTCTCAGATTGAGATGGAAGCCGTCAATCAACGCAGTCTGATCGGTCAGCTGCATAGCCAAATTGAGGAGCTTCAAGCAGCTGCCCTTCAACTCTCTGATGAGAACGCCAGACTCAAAGGCCGGGTTCATGAAGAAGTCAAGTAAGGTTCAATTTCTGTGGGATGTTTTTTTATTTCTTCGTCGTACGCAGCACTTGGCGTTCTTTTTTGTAATGCACCAATTCTTTAATAAAGCATCTCAACATAGGTTCGTGGTATTTTGGTCTTATTTTTCGGTCGCAGGAAGTCGGAAGAGCTTCAATTCCGTCTTGAAGAGGAGGCCATCGAGAAGACATCACTGGAAAATCAAAAGTCGGATGTGGAAGAACGGATTTTCGAGCTGGAAGAGGCTTTAGCGGCTGCCAAGGAGGTCAACGAGCGGATTGAGGCGCAGCTACGCGAAAACGGGGCCGATGCGACAACCAGTGATTTACCGCCTGTCGACTCTCGCCTCGTCGCAGCTGAGGCGCGGGCAGCTGAGCTTGAGGCGACTCTAAAGAAGCTCCAAGAAGAACAGCTTAGTGTATGTGGCGTCCTGTTGGTCGGCACTAAGGTGGCTTTGATAACCTACTTCAGTCTAAAATCGTGGATGTTATGTTAGAACCATAGACGGGTAACGGCGTCTCATAACTCCTGTTTCCTTGCGCGAATCCCTTCTCCCTGGTATTGTTAATATCAATTAATAAGCACTTTGTCTCACCCCGGGAGAGTTTTTCCTGGGTGGTTTCGTTGTGTGCATCTTCATGATGTGGCTTTACTTGGTTGTCACTCTATTGCTAATTCTGTAAGGTGGCCACTCTATAGTTGTTAACGCACATAGTCTGCCGAATTTCGCATCCTTAAACCCCAGTGTATTTCGGTGTCATGTGTCAAAATTAGGGAGTGCTTTTTGAGTTCCTTTCGGTAGATTTCGTGTTAAGCTGCTTTCCGTGAGAACATCGGGGAGCATCGATTAAAAAGCATTTGGGCTAACACTGGTAAACGAGTGATGTCTAACCGTTGTCATTACCTGGCCTCGGAGCCGTGCCTAGCGAGACCCCTTAGACAAATAGTCCTGATGCAACGCGATTTTTGTGCTATGCAGTGTTGTGTAATTGTGATTGATGATGATCAAACGGTGGAGCCTCCACTTGCTTTCTTTTTTAGTGGCTTGTTTCTTTAGTCATTTGCACTACCTCATTGCTCAATCAAGACTCATGCTGTCTTTTGGGTCACTTCCTCTACGCTTAACTTATAGGCGGACGCTCAGAAGCAGGTAGGTGCCAAAGACGCGGAAATCAGAGACCTCCGCGCGCAACTCGCCAGTCTCCAAGACAGCCTTCTCAAGGCTGAGCAAAAACTTGTCGAAAAGGTGAGTCTGCGTCACTTTGTTGTCAGGACTTCCCTTAAAGACGACGTTTTGTCAGCGTTATTCTTCCTTTTTTTAAAGTTGAGAACGATGACAAATTACAGCACATCAGTTTTAGTGCTCTCTAAGCGGACTGGCGGGCTAGGTGATTGACATAACGCCAACGTGCCTGGTGTCGACTTTGATTTATGGGACGCTAGCCCCGTCCTCCTAGAACCACTTCCCCAGTCTTGCTAATTCCTTCATCTTGGTACTGTCGGGCATCCTGCATTGAATGAAAAAAACTGCTCCTCTGGGTTTGAGATTGCGTAGTTCCTTATTGGGAAGTCGTGTGGTTTTTTTTAATGGCATTGTGGCAACGTATTCTCAAACCAAAGAACTGCATCGTTTGTGGTGTTCGAGCGTCAACGTAGTTACTGCTTGCCGTTGCCTGTTATCCAAGGCTTCTTTGCGATTGGATTTGTCTTAGTGCTAGTCACCACTTTCTAATGACTGGATTTGGTTGGTTACTCCTTCTGATTTCTGCTGCCTACTTCAGCAGCCGTGGTGGTAGGCCAAGCACAGTTTTTTGTCACACCGTAAAAAAACCTAGTCAATAATCACCAGATTAAAACAGCTATTTGTCATAATGTATATTTGTGCTGTTGGTTTGTTAATGTAGACTTCAATGGAGAGCAGTCGTGGTGAAGAATTGAAGGTAGTGCAGGCCTCCGAGAAGGAGTTAACCGCAGCCTTCAATCAGCAGCAGGCTGTGCTCTCAGCCGAAGCAGAGAAGTTGAGGAGTGAGGAGGTGAACGCGCTGGTCTGCAAGCTGGCACAGACCGAAAGGTATGGCTTCAAATTCTTGCACTAATTTGTCGGGTCACCTCAGCCTTTCACCTGTTAGACTTTAGTTTGTGAAGAGGGTAACTACTCAATCGCTTGGTGCTATAGTCTCTCATGCAGTCATTGTTCTTGTGTTCAGGACGCCGTCGTGCATGTTATATGATCTCATCTCGTTAAAATTCGATCAAGGAAATCCATCAGGAGATAAAACTATAAATTCACTTGCTTTGCTTCATCCCTTAATCTTTGGTTCAGTTTTTGACTGCACAAGTTAACCCATTTAACGCCATTATTTGAGATTCTTTTCCAGTTTGAATTACTTCCTTTCGTTGGTAGTCACACGTTTTTCAATAAAATGGAATTCGTTCATTCGTGGTGCCTCAACCAGGGTAATTTGTTGTTTTTTTTTTACGCAAAAAATCACAGTGAACTGGAGGCGATGCGAACCAAAGTGAAGGAACTGGAGAGCCAAATTGTTGCCTTTGGGGAGAACCAAACGAAGCCCGTCGAATCGCCTGCGGGGGAGGATAAACCGGCGTCGAATAAGACCCTCGACCCAGACGCCCTGCTAGATGAACTGCAGAACCACGTGAATAAGGTGAAGGAAACCGATGCAAAAGAGTCAGAGGAGTGGAGCAAGCGCCTTCTCGAAGTTGTAAGTGTTGCGCTTTATTTTATATTCAACCTGGAACAGCATGTTTGTTTATGGGGCTTTATGTTTCACTTTCGCGTAGAAATAATCTCGAGATGAGACTTGTAAATCAATTTCCCCTGCACGCGCATCTGCTGCGTTCAAAGTCCTCTAGAGGCCATTTTAAGTGTTGAGCGGCGCTTGTTATGCATTTAATTGCCAAATTAGGTGTCGATAGCAAGGCACGGGCCTTTACGGAAGTGTTCAATGCATGATAGTTGCAATTGGACAATTTCAATTCGTGATTACCGTCGTCGTTGGGTGTTGTTGTTACAGAAACGCGTCATTGTCACCTACCCCCTTACACCTATTGACCCTCGTTTCTATATTGGATCGTTGTGACAAGTGGATAATGAGGCGAGGTGCCAAATGCACTGTTTCAGTGGAGAGATCCGCTCCTACTTAGTACCTTTTTTTGTATTTGACGATGGCCTTGCAGTGAACCACCCGTTGTCAACGGGTGGATTTCTAGTTTTTGCCACCATCAAACAGCTGAATTGTTTCCTCGTCTAGGCGGAGGAAGTGAGGAAGCTAAAAGGCGTAGAACGCGAACCCGACGAGGCGACCACACGAGCTCTTCAGCAAATGAGTATCCGACTTCTCGAGGCCGAAGCTGAACTCGCGCAAAAGGAGGTAATCCGTTTGTCTTCTCCGTTACATTTGAGGCCTGCTTTGCACTAAGTATGAGCAAATCGTGGCCTGCTTGTGTCCAAACGTTTGCTAGCTGCCACATGTCTCTGTTTCTCCCACTCTTAGGCAGTTTGGTTAACAGAAAGAAAAGCAACTTAAAGCCCTATCGCAGACCTCATTTTAGTCTCGTACCATTGATTGTGCTGGTACACTTCTCGTAATCATTATTGTTTTCACGTTTCTCTTTTTCCCCCAACCCACCCCGCCGCTGTTGCTGCCCGCACAGGCTCAACTTCGAGTTGCTTTAGCAAGTGGCACGGCTAAACCGGATTAAACGGCAGCCACATGCCTTCTAACTCACTTTCGCCCACCCAATACAGGCACTTGTGTCACCCTAATCGCGGTTTGGGGCTTTAATGTTGCTGAACACTTGTATTGTTTGTTTTCATGATGTTTCGTTGTGAAAAATTCACTGACTAACCTCTGTTTTCGAATTCCTCTTTGCTTACCCCGAGTAAAAACACTTAGGAACAAATTTAGAACCCTTGTTGCTCGTGGTTGTTTCTGGGGGATATGTGATGTCGCCATGTTATTCTCATAAAATTCTACTCCGATGCTGAAATGGCGAAACCCAGTCGACTCGATACCCAGTTCCTCGATATCCACGCACAATTTTGGGCGGCTGCCACTGGCGAAAAATCAAAGCTCATCGTCATAATTCTCACGCTTAGGGGAAAAATGATATTCACCATTAAATAAGTTCTTGCAAAAGCCCGAAATCCATTCAATGCTAAAGAATGACTTCACTTTAAATGAAGTGTTGCTTTTTTTCACAAAGTGAATAGTAAATCGAATGTCAAAGCGGTCATTCGGCCAACTCAAATCAAGCATCATAATATCTCCCCCAAGCATTACGTTAGACGTTGAAAATCACGCAAATTTAGCAACCTTCTCATCAACAATGCCCACTCTGTACTCTGTTTCTCCAGCCTCCGCTTTTCGTATGCTAGTCAACTCTTCATTCACAACCGCAACATCCCTCCCGCTCATTTTCTCATATCCATAATCAGTACTGGCGGTAGATGTGCTTAAATTGAATCATTTGTTGATATTGCCAAAGCTTGGCATTTGTTGAATGGCGTCGGGGTAATATGTGCTTCCTTTCTCATCCTCCGCTTGCCCGCTCCAATCTTGCCATCTTTGGTGCTGCGCGCCCGAACGCTCTTGTTGCCTCCTCACACACCCTATCACCTTCACTCTCCCACGTGCAGTCTGTGTCACTTGCGCAGATGTCTGCCCTCACAGAGGCCCATTTGCACCTCAAAGAAAAACAGGAAGAATCTCCAGCGCAGACGCTCGTCACTGAAGAGCTACGCAAACGTCTGGAGGTTCTCGAAGCCGAGCGATGCCAACTTTCCACGACCCTCTCAGAACGCCAAAAGGAAGCTGCTTCGGTTAGTGTGTTTACCTAATTTACATAAGCATATTGCAGTCTTCATTAAAAATGGTCAACCCATAGGGCTTGCAGCCTTAAGGCGTTAACTGGTGGCATTTAGAGTTACCTCCTTTATCGTTAACTCGTACTCTTCATCTGAAACCACGGTGCTCAATAAACTACTGTCTGCCTTAAATCCGGTGTCCATATTTGCAGCTTAATGCAGATTCTTCTAATGGAACTGTCGGCGGGTATGCACAAGCCAGACAGAAGCACGTACTTAATGTCACTAAAAAAGCGTGACCCGTAAGTACCACATCGGAATGTACACTCGAAGAAGCCTTGAGGTCATAAAACGCACAACAGTCGAGAACTGTCAAGAGGATCATTATCTTGTGGTCAAGTGAGGCTCAGGTCAGGAAGTAGTCGGTGGAGCCAGGAGTCTGTCGTTAATTCGCATGTAGATGTTAGCTGTGTTTATATCTTACCCCTTCTTATGTCGCTGCTGTGTTATTTAATAGAGAAACGACAGTTAAATCAACCGAAAAAATGCTTAAAACACGCTGGATTGTGACTTTCATAGCCCTAACACATGGCCACTCTGTTGCCTTGGACTCTCAACTCCAAAATTCTTGTGAAATTTGACAGCTGTTGGCAGGTAGTGTGTTTATCGATGAATTTTAATAGATCTAGACTGTGAACGGATTCGGAGTTTTTTTTCTTGCGAAATCATCTTAGCCATCTTTTCCAGCTAAGGGACGCCTTATCCCTAAAAGGCACTGAGGTGGAAGCCTGCATGGCTAAGATAGCCCGACTGGAGAAAGAACTAAGCGGCGCTGTGTCCGAACGGGATAGAAAGCTGAACGAGCTGAAGGCTGCTGTCAGCGCGCATGAGGCACTGGGCCTCTCAGATGAGGAACTTCTCGAACGCGTCTCACAACTGAGGAAGCAAAAGTGAGTTTTTGGAATGAAACCACTGTTGTATCGATATCGCACAGCTTATTTCAAAGCACTTTTCTTCATTAACTGATGGATAGTTATTTCAAATTACATTGAAATTCGTTACTGCCTATGACCTAATTCTGTAATCGATAGTGAAGATGGAATTAGTCGACAGCTTTCAGGTTTAGAGCAGTGCTTGCCTTCCTCAAACATGTCCTCGTATATTCGAAGCATTGCCTCCATCCACGAGTTTCCCTTCAGCGCTTGACAAAGTGCGGTCACATGTCCTTGTGAAAGTACGTGAGGCCGTTGTGCTTTGCCTGTGTAAAACAGCACTTTAGTTTCACTCGCATTGTTAGATTATGTTAAAGTTCATGAACTTGACGAGTTGACGCTGTACTTTCATTACTTACACTAAGGTAAGTGCTTTCGGGTTGCTTTCGCCTAAGTCACAGCATTTGCCAAGAAATGAGTTGAGCACGGTACGCTGTAGCAATTGTTAGCCAAGCCTTAAAGCCGTTCTATCAAATCAACTAGCATTTGCGCTCATGAGGCCGGGACATTTAAAATAAACAACAACCCTACTGGAAAAAAAGGAGTCTCATTGTGGGTCGTGTAGTGCGCTTGAAATCTGCTTGCGTGGCTTCCACAGTCGCTGCGCCGCATGATGCACCTGCTTGTGTCTGTTGCAGTGAGGAACTCGAGCGGCTGTACGCAGCGTCCGAGGCTCGGTTGCAGTCCCTCAGCTCGCACCACCTCCAGGTGGACGAGGAGTATCAGGCCCTCAAGCAATCGACCGCGCCAATGGTCTCAGTGAGTGCCTTCTATGGCGCTTGATGCCACCGAGTCTTAGCTGTCATTAGACCTTTGCATGGTTCGGTATCCTCGCGTATGTTTCTGTTTAAACTAATTCACTTCCAACTGGTCCATTTAATCTATTAATTTGATCGCAGTCCCCTCGAAATTACATTCTTAAATTCCACATTGTCAAGTGTTTGCACATTACCCCTCTGTCCTGCATGCGACTCCGTGTCTGTCATCTCACTCTCCTTCGAATTCTTTTCAGTCCTCGTAACGCTTGCGTCCTTTTAGGTTCTCACGGTGACATCAAGCTGAGTTTTGTAAAATCCATTCAACAGATCAGTGAATTCAACATTCGAAGGACGCACAAAACACTTTTAACGGTGCCTGAGACACGTCTCTTAGAGTATGCAAATCGGCGAAACCAAGGCCCACATGGTGGTGTTTTGCCCATCGATTCTAGCACACGCAAAGCAGCCTTTTTGTCACACCACGAACTCGCCTCTTCTCCTTTGTGCACACGCGCCACACAACTTGCACCCACTCGCTTTCAAACAACGCCTTTCATGCCTGGTTGAGCACAAATGCGGATGGTTGTGCGGCGGAGGGAGTGCTGTGGCAACCTCAGCCCAGGCTTTTCTAGAAGCACTTCAGACTGTCCTAGAAAGCTCTTACACACTCTCG